GATTTGATTTGATTTGATTTGATTTGATTTGATTTGATTTGATTTGATTTGATTTGATTTGATTTGATTTGATTTGATTTGATTTGATTTGATTTGATTACGGAAAGTGAAAGCTAAATAGAACACCGTTCATATACGCATAACATAAGATAAATCAAGAGACTTGTATTCCTTTTTAATTTAAGTAGATCCTTTTTTACAGAAATTCTTTATTTTATAGAAAACTTTTTATCTTTGGGGTTTAGCTTTGTTTATGGTTTCCGAAGCCAATATTCACTGGTAAGAAACCGTATTAAATCTCTGTAATTTTATTCTATTGACTGTAATTATTGAGAAAACTTAAAAATTGTTAAATAGTTCCTTTTTATACACATCGTGTTGGGGGGAGGGGGGCGTTTTGAAGTTTAGTCTTCAATGTTTATTTCTGTTGCCAAGTTAGTTTAGGCTATGTTTCATTACGTTCTGGCCGAACACTTAATAGTGTATTTATTATTGCGGCCTGCTAGTATGTAAATATGCTTAGATGAATTTACTTTTTAAATTCTAAACTTTAAAAAAAATTACCCTGTTCCACCAAATCTTACTTAAAATATTTATTTCTAATATGCAATATCATAAAATATATGACTGACATAATCTTAATTTTGTTATAAAAAGCTATCAAGAATTTGAAAAAGAGGGAAAATGATAGAAGTACTTGTTTTCGATTGTAGAGGTATGTCCTTGGAAAGTTATTTTGTAAACCAACAAAAAGAAAACTTATCACACTGTTCCGTATTTACTTTCAAACTTACTTTTCGGAATTAATGTTTTTAATAACGTCAATAAATATAAGTTTTGCTGGTACAAGTTAATGAAGTTCGTGTTCGCTTGCTGTCAATGTTTATATTTTGCACGTTTTATATAAATTAAACCGGTGCTTAGGATCCGGATCCGTTGGATCCGCAAGATTTTGGCTTCCTGGGTCCGGATCTGCAAAAATATTCGGATCCACGGATCCGGATCCAAGGGGTAAAATATTAACCAAAAACTGAAAAAAAAACTTTTACTCCTAAAATCCAAATCTCAACTTTTGAAAAAAGAGAGATTATAAAAATTTCCTCAAAAAAAAAATTGAAAATTATTTTTTGTTAAAAAAATTCAGTAAATCTTAAAGAAATGACATGGATCCGGATCCGGATCCATTCTTTTCCAGTGCGGATCCAGGATCCGGATCCGCATCAAAATTAATCCTAAGCACTGCGTTAAACTAACTAAAATCATTTTATGAATCGTTTAGAATTGGTTGGTAACTAAATTCTATAAAAAGTGTATTGTTTATGTCTGCGTACTTTTAAGCAGGGAAATATATTTTCTTGAAAAGAAAGATAAAAAATCGAAACCCAACATTTAATATCCCTTTCATTTCTCTTTGAAAACCATAATTTCCCCAGGGGGAGGGTGGGGGGATATTTTCCCCTGTTATGATGGTCAAATATTCTTGAATAGCGGTGACACATCATCACATGGACCTGATTCTATCTGTCATGTACTTACATAAAATATTAAATCAAAGTATGTTTTGTGAATTTAAAATTTAACTGTTATAAATTGCGTTCATACATCCACTGTCCAGTATTTATGGAGGAAAAGGGGAGTATTTTCCTTCCCAAAAAAAATATTTATTCCTTGTTTATCCATTTTTTAAAATCATGCACATTACTTAGCAACCTTGATGCATAAGAAAACATAATTAAATTACCTCATTTTTAGTTAATTCTTTTTCTGATTTTTTTGGGAAACCAAACAGATATCATTTATTTATTATAGATATTTGTTTTTTAATAATCTTTTAAATAACATTTTTCCTTGATTGCAGAATGTCGCTGCGCGGTTCCCAAACATGGTCAAGATAATGCAAGGCCAGGCCTCAAGGATGATGGGAGGAATGATGGGAGGAGGCCCTCAAGCTAAACGTCCCAAGCTATCTGGTGCTCCCATGAGTTTAAGTGGACCTCAGCGTGGACCTCCAGGAATGATGGGACACAGTGGTCAAATGATGTCATCAGGAAGTATGGGTCCAAGAGGTCCGATGGGACCTGGCCCAAGACCACCGGGTATGAGTAATATGCCAATGGGAATGGGTCCAATGGGGCCTATGGGACCCATGGGTCCGATGGGCCCGGGCGGAATGAGAGGGCCACCAATGGGACCTAATGGACCAATGGGACCTAACGGTCCAATGGGAAGCTTAAGACAAGGACCCTCAGGTCCAATGCGACATGGAGGACCACCCATGGGCCCTATGGGACCAATGGGATCTAGCAGAAACATGGGACCTGGACCAATGGGCCCAATGGGTCCAGGAGGACCTATGGGTCCAAGTTCAATGGGAGGACCTATGGGTCCAAGTTCAATGGGAGGACCTATGCCCAACTCCCCCTCCACCTCCTCGTGTAGTCAGATGACGCAGTCCTCAATGCCTCCGACCTCTGGGGACTCTTCCAATCCTAACTCGACCTCCTGTGGTAGTCCTATGCCGACCATGACGAACCCCATGAACTCAACCTCCTCCTCTAGCCTGACCCCTGGACCTCCACCGGGCTCGATGACTCCGGAAGGTGGTAACCACGGGGACTGCAGTGGTGGGAGTCCGTCCTCGCAATCTGGTTTAGACAGCTCGGTCTCACTTTCAGGTTAGTCTTCCTGCAAACCAGTCTAGGTTTATGTCGGAAATACGGATTCTTAAGGGGAAAATTAATGATATTTTGAGTAAAAAGTATTTAAAGGGATAAGAAAGCTAGATTTTTTGTTTATTTTCCCCAGAGCATCAATGATCATCATCTTGGAAAAATATACTCCTGGAGAATATTTTTGCAGTGAAAGAAATAAAAATGGAAAGTTTTGTAAGATGTTTTTACCTCCTATTGTGATCTCTACCGGCCACTGGAGAGAGTAATTCCTCAGAATCTTTTTTGTCCATCTTATATTTTTTTCTAATTTTATAAAGTAAATATATACATAAGTCATCATTTTTTGGGAAAACTTTAAAAATGAGCCTATATTGTTTTGTGGTAGGCGTTACCCAATTAGAATTTTTTTTTTTTTTCATAAGTTTATTTAAATAATGTTTATTCAGGAGCCAAGGTACCCGATGAGAACTTAACGATGGAACAGAAACAGAAACGTCACGCGAAACTTGGTTTTCTGAAGGAATTAAATTCCCAGCTCTTTCCTGAAGACGGAATGGGTCCAATGGGACCTGGAGGACCCGGTGGCCCTGGAGGTCCAGGTGGTCCCATGGGTCCAGGAGGACCTGGCGGACAAATGGGACAAGGACAAATGGGCCCAATGGGACCTGGAGGATCTATGGGAAGAGGACCTCCTTGCAGTATGAGTCCAGGGATGGGAATGGGACCTAATGGTCCACCACATTCTATGGGGCCCAGAGGAATGATGGGACCGAATGGACCTATGGGGCCTAACGGACCTATGGGACCAATGGGACCAAACGGTCCGATGATGATGGGTCCTGATGGACCAATGATGGGACCTGGAGGGCCAATGGGTCCTCGAGGAATGGGACCGATGGGACCTATGGGACCCGGAAGAATGATGGGCCCTGGAGGTATTTGATTTTTTTGATAAAAACAAATTCTATTTTTATTAATTAAAGATATAAATCAAGTCGTATTCATTTACTAAAATCTTATTTGATTTTTAGGACCGATGGGACCTGATGGACATTATGGAATGATGGGACCTGATGGACCTAGAGGAATGATGGGACCAGACGGACCTAGAGGAATGATGGGTCCCATGGGACCCAGGATGATGGGACCTAACGGCCCAATGGGACCTGGTGGACCAATGGGACCTGGAGGACCTATGGGTCCCATGGGCCACGGTATGATGGGACCAGGTGGAACACCAACCTCTCTCCAGGCCCAGATAGAGTGGCAGAAGATGCAACAGCAATTTTACGCGGAGAAGAGCAAGAAGAATGGAGGTCTAGGGATGATGGGTCAAATGTCTATGGGACCAATGGGACCTGGTGGGCCAATGGGACCTATGGGTCCAGGCGGTCCAATGGGCCCAGGCGGACCTATGGGCCCAGGAGGAATGGGTCCAATGGGACCTGGAGGACCAATGGGACCTATGGGACCTCGAGGTATGATGGGCCCTGGTGGACGGATGCCTGGTCCACCCCCGCCTTATCCCGGCGGTAAACCGCCCCCTCCTGGTGCCTCCCCGAACCCAAACTCTCCCGCTACCTCCTTACCAATGTCCAGTCCAGTAGGGGCGGGCATAATGAACTCCCCCCGCCATATGGGATCCAACCCTGGTACTCCAGTATCCGGAGCTCCTCTCTCCTCCCCGGTCCTTGGCAAGAATTCTCCTGGCGGAGGATCTGGTGCTGGTCATGGTATGCCCGGAGTTCCAGGTGATCCTCATTTATTTTCAATATAATTTTGAAAATCTAATGGTCAAATCCCTCCCCCACCCCGCCCTCAAAATTGTTTCCTGATTTTCAATTTTTTTTAGTAAAAAAATATATATGTGTGGGAATTATATTACCCTGAAACTGGAAACTTCTTCTCTTTTTTCTTTAATTTTACAATATAAGTTGAATATATGATTAATTAGAAAAATTCTCAGAAAACTTCACAATCTTTTCGATCAAGTTATATTCCGCTTATTAAATATTTTTATTGAAAAGCTTTGTCTGTTGGCATGATTTACATTAACATTTAGACTACTATGTAGATGGAATGTACGGGGGCAGAATGTCCGGTTACAAGAACCAGTGCTCCAAGGAGGCGAATCTGATGCCGGTCCCGTCCCCTCAGCAGATACAATTCCCCCTCCTAGACGGCCAGGAGCTCACTATACAGAAACAACCCAATACATCTCTCAGAGATTCAGAACTTGCCTCTCCTTCGTAAGTGTTTATTTACTATTTAGAAAAAGAGGATGTTAATAGAAACTTTATTACATGATAGTCAACGGTAGAACCTTTTAAAACCTTTTTCTTCAAATTATATTTATGATTTCTTACATTGCATATGCTCGCGACTTGTCTACAGCAGGCACGATCAAGTTATAAACGTCTGTCTTATTCAAAGATTAAGAGGGTTCCGTTGTGAATTGTGAAGGTTGAAGGATTTTTATTGGAGTCCTCTTAAAGTTATGGTTACTATTTTTCTGCTAAAACAGTTTCTATCATTCTTAGTAAAACTTCTTCACATTTTCGCATCCAATATTCTCTTATCTCGTTGTTCTCGTCCAAATCCTTTTTTTAAGTTTATTTTATTTTCAGCGTTGGTAATGATCGCAGTCCCTCGCAATCTCAAGATGGATCTAAAAATCCTGGAACTCCTGGTCCCCAGACACCGTCCTCTAATATCGGCGATGCTCAACCTCCAAAGTATCCCGGCGGCCCTCACACGCCCCACACGCCGGCGGGTAACGACAGTCTTTACCAAGGAGATCATACACCTGGGCACAATACACCACACACGCCCAGCTCACAGGACAAATCTAGAAACTTTCCGTCCCCAGGACACGAACAGAACTCTAGGTTTCCTATACCTGCTAGTCCTGGAGGACGGTTTCCAGGGGGTATGTCCCCTAACCATATAGGATTAGGACTACCGCCCCAGGAGAATATGCCACTGAATCCTGCCACACCAACTTCAACCTCAGTACCTTCATCTATGGCCTCTAAAGGGTTTGATCCTATCTCTTCTATGGCCCAGATGTCCCAACAGTTAACCCAAGTATCAACTCCTTGCTCTACTCCTAACTCTATAGGGCCTGGTCCTGACTCTGGTCTAGGCTCAATGGGGAACCTTGAGCCGGGAATGATGAATTCACCGCTAGGTGGTATGCTTGGACCTGATGGGAATCCTGTTACTTCCATGGGAATGGGATCCGATTCACCAACGATGGATATGGGACCAATGGGACCTGGAATGATGGGATCTATGATGGGACATCCAAGGAGTATGGGACCCAACGGACCTATGATGGGGCCCAATGGACCTATGATGGGACCTAACGGACCTATGATGGGACCTAACGGACCCATGATGGGACCTAACGGACCCATGATGGGACCAAATGGGCCAATGATGGGACCAAACGGACCTATGATGGGACCAAACGGACCTATGATGGGACCAAACGGACCTATGATGGGACCTAACGGTCCAATGGGCCACAATGGACCTATGGGACCTAATGGACCAATGGGTCGAAGCATGGGGATGGGATCTGGAATGATGGGGCACATGGGCCCAAACGGTCCAATGCCTTCCTCAACCTCGTCCAGTATGCCGGGTGGAACTTTCGCCACAGTGAAAGCAAGTGCTCCTAATACAATCAATTATTTACCTTCTAGACCTCCACATTCACAATCTGGACCTAAGGGACCTCCAAGCTTAGAGTTCCTGAGATATGCAAACCCTGGGATGGATAAACAAATGGGACCTGGTGGACCAATGGGTCCAATGGGACCTGGCGGACCAATGGGACCCATGGGCCCAGGGGGACCTATGGGACCCAACGGTCATATGATGTCAAATGGACCAATGAGCTCAATGAACGGACCCATGGGAATGAATGGTCCTATGTGTGGACCAAATGGACCTATGGGCCCTGGTGGACCTAGAATGTCTATGGGACCTGGTCCTGGCGGCTATATGGGACCTGGTGGACCTGGAATGATGAGTCCCCGAGGATCAGGTCCTCCTGGTGGAATGATGGGACACAACGGACCAGGAATGGGCCCTGGGATGTACTCCGGTGATATGATGATGGGACCTATGGGGCCTGGTGGTCCTATGGGCCCCGGGGGTCCTATGGGACCTGGCGGCCCTATGGGTCCAGGCGGTCCAAGAATGGGAAATTCGGGAATACCAATGAGTACTAGTGGACCAAATGGCCAAGTGAGTAGTAGAAGTATGGGACCTGGTGGACCTATGGGTCAAGGAGGGCCCATGGGACCTGGCGGACCCATGGGTCCTGGAGGACCGATGGGACCTGGTGGACCGATGGGACCTGGTGGACCGATGGGACCTGGAGGCCCAATGGGCCCTAACAGCTCTGGCCCTGGCTCGGGGGGTCAAATAAACAATTCTGGTCCGATGGGCAGTCCTTTAGGAGGAATGCATTCACCTATGGGTCCCAATGGCCCTGGGATGGGACATAATGGACCCATGACAAGTGGCCCAATGGGCAGTCCAATGGGTGGACACATGGGAGGACCTAATTCTATGATGGTTCCGTGCTCGAAATCCTCGCCAATGGGCATGGGCGGAGGAACCCCGGGTCCTGACCCAACCCAGCCCCTTCCTCCGAGTGGAATGGGGCCTGGGAATGGATTTAACAAAAATTCTCCCATAATGGGCGGTCCCGGGCCCACCAGCACCGACCCCAACTACGCACAACAATTCCACAACTTCCAACAGCAGCTCTACGCCACCAACACTCGTAGCCAGGGAATGGGTGGCCCTCCCTCCCACCCTCACAGGGGCGGGACCCCTCCTCAGCTAAACCAAAATTGGCTTCCCTCCTCTGGTCCTATAACTAAATGAGGGTAGGGCCCCCAAACCTCGTCTAAAGGCTGTGATCTAGTGTAGATTTAGTGATTACCATCCCCTTTCAGTGTCTACTGGTTATATCAGTATTCAGGTGGTTTGATGCTAGCTGCCGACCAGTGTGGTGGACAGTATTCTCCCCTTCTAGTGCTCAAATGTCATGTTTGATCAGTGATAAGTCCTGTCAACTGTGTCTAGGTAAAGAACGGCCTAATAATATCGTTCCTTTAACGTGAACCTAGAACAGTTGAATCCTCGTTTTTGCAATTTATGCCAGAGTGACCTTGTCACATGTTTATTTTTGACCTGTGCAAATTTTACGGAACAAGCATGTGCAAATAAATTCGCAGCTTGAGTGTGTGCTGACCCCCTGACTCAGGGTCTTTTAAGCTGATAATATTCTATAGTCTGATAATATACATCTGTAATAATCAGCTATTGTATATTTTTATACAGTAACTTAGGAAAGTTCCGATATATGAGAATTGAGGTTGTAAGAATTTGCTCTTTTTACTGAAGAAATATAAGTTAAACTATCTTGCCAAGTTTTATTTTTTGATGTTATTTTTATGACTTAACAGAAATTATGAACACTGAAAAATATAGACTATGGATTGCGAATTTCTACATACGTTTAGACAGTGTGAACCAGAAAACTTTGGACTGCACGCCGTTCTTCCTTCTTATACTCAAGAAATGTTGCAAAGAACTTTTAAACTTACACCGGTTCATGGTATTACAAAAATTCAGTTGCAAATTATAGAATTTGACGGAACAAAAAAGCTACATCTCAATAGTTGGAAAGAATAAGAGACCATGAGATTTACACTTTTTTTCTGGTTATCACAGAACTGGAATTAAGTGGTTAAAGGGACTGTAAAGGAAAAATGAAAGGGGTATAGGCCGAAAGTTAATCACTTTAGCTCTCGATCGTGACCCATGAAAGTTATATCTGATGTGCCTACCTCGAGAAATTTATATACAACTGTGTCAAATTTATACGAAAATTAATATATACAATTTTGTATAAAAGTAGTGGGTTGAAAAAGATCAAATTCAGCAAATATGCAACCAATCTGAAAACGATGATATCCCAGAGAAAGCTAATTGTAACTTAGGTTTACCCCAATTCTAATTTTATATTTGTTATTTTCTAAATTTCACGTATATGAACTTTCGTATAATTTTAACACAGTTTTATATCAATTTCTCGAGACAGGAACATCAGATTAAACTTTCATGGGTCGCGAACAAGAACTAAAGTGATTAGCTTTCAGCCTATACCCCCTTTCATTTTTCCTTTACAGTCCCTTTAAACTAAAAGGGAATTGACTTCCTGCCACTGTAAACTAGACGTAAGTAGAAAATGTATGCGATATTGTGAACTCCTAACTCGTCAAATTTTGATTTTATGTCCGTTTATATAATTGAAATTTAAAACATTTTTGTTCTTCTCATGAGATCTTCAATGGGAGAAATGACGATTAAAAATTTTATAAATTTTAAACGTGCAATCTATTTTAGTTTGACAAGTTTGTGGCGCCTTGATTATTGATTGTTTGCATAATTCAACTATCCATGATTTTAAGAAGTTTTCCTACTGCTATTCTGCAAGAACTATTGTGTAGATAAATTCCTTTTCTTCTTCTATAAAAAAATTATGATTTTCTTTTTCAAATTCAAAAATAGATTCAAAAAACGGGACTCAAGGGGGGCTGATTGGTAGTTAAACTGAGTATGCAGTGCTGTGGAAAAATTTTTGAGGATTCATTTGAGACATAAAAAACGTTTCCACGTTACTGAGTTTGAGCTCAAAGTCGACGTTCTAAATCATTAATTTGGGTAAGTACGTTTTCAGAATCGCTTTTTTAATATTATTAAATAACCACGACGAAAATTATATAGAAAAAAAATCTATAGTAAACTAATAAGATGTTTAGTTTAGGAACATATTTCTCGAAATAATTTTTCAATAAATCGAAGTTAGAATTAATTATTTCCTTTCTTTATCATTATATTGAATTTCTTATTTTCTACAGTGAAACCCTTAATAACGAATACATCGAAAGAATTCATCAAATGTCGTATTCTTCACTTTCTGATAATGGAATGTTGCAGATATTTAGTTTTTTAATCAATTGATTATATGGAACTCTTTAAATCTGTTCCCGCAAATTCATAGCTATTTATTTATTTTCGCAAATACTGAAATTTACGTAATATAGTATAAACCTCATTGAAAATTTGTCAAGACGACATTTGATAAATTCTTCCCATGTATTAGTTATTAAGGGTTTCACTGTATGATTTTTTTTCTCGCAGATTTCTTTAAATGTCGTCTTTTTCTTAAAAATTCCAGAGCTGAAAACTATAGAATGGATAAACTTTAATCCTGACTTCTTGATCCGAATATCCACGGTGGAAACTTTTCATTTTTGTCCTTAATCCACTCTTTTTACTCTCCTTGGATATCCGTTAATTGTTTTCTCCAATGAGAATATTTCTGTTCTCTCATTGGTTGCCCGCTTTTCTCTGATTGGCTGCTACAGTTTCTCAGATGATTAAATATTAATATGAATTTTATCGTTTTTCATACACTTTTAAGATAATCTTGCAAGATTATGTTAATCTGGAGATTAAGAAAAAGAGTGGATCAAGCATTAATCCCGATATCCACCATTCAAAAGTTCCCAGCTCAGATAATTTGGGAGTAAAGAGAGATTGTAGAAACTAATATAAGATTACTTATTTTCGATGAGTTAATTTTTATTTTCTCAACTCTTTCCTAAACAACTAATTACAGAATTTTGTTTACATTTTTTGTCGTTGTCATTTAATAATAAAAAGAAAACAATTCTGAAAACGTATCCACCCAAAAAATACGATTCTGAAAGTCGACTTTGTGCACAAACTCAGGATTTACACATCTTTAAAAAGTTTTATATGTCTCAAATGAATCCTAAAGAATTTGACCACAACACTGCATACTCAGTTTAACTACATTACATAGCAGGTCTGTCCCTTTAATATGAAAAATGTTTAATCCACTCTATAACAAGGATTTTCTAGGTGTAGTACACAGGGTTAGTTCATCCAGGTTTAGTACCCAGGGTTAGTTCATTTAAGTTTATTACACAGGGTTAGCTTATCCAGGTTTAGTACACAGGGTGAGTTCACTCAGGTTTAGTACACAGGGTTAATTCATCTAGGTTTATTAAACAGGGTTAGTTTATTTAGGTTTAGTACACAGGGTCAGTTCATTCAGGTTTATTATACAGGGTTTGTTCATCTAGGTTTAAAGGGGAATTTTGTGATTATTATCTCTAGAAATTTACTTCTAAGATTAGGTTGACAAATAAACGCAGCAAATTATATCAAAAATCAAGACGACATTCAATTCGTCCTCCATACTGTCATGTTTCGTGGGACACCCTGTATGTCTCAAATTAATCCTAAAGAATTTGACCACAACACTGCATACTCAGTTTACCTACATTACATAGCAGGTCTGTCCCTTTAATATGAAAAATGTATAATCCACTCTATAACAAGGATTTCCTGAAGGATGGATGAGAAGTAAAACTAAGCTTCTGTCGTAAGGGAATTCTTATTTAATAATTATTGTCATCGGTGGTGGCCAAAACATTCTACGCTTCTATTTTTTAGTTTAGTAGCGCCGAGTGCAGCCAACGTTTTAAATTTCAAGACTATATTTTCCAATAGAGATGTATCAAATAAATAAATCTGTAATTTAAGATGTCGGAGACAAAATGTTTTCAAGTTTATCTAATTTAAAAAAGCATAATTGGATACTTAAAAGATTGGTTCAGGGGCGATTACATACTTTCCAGAAGGGTGGGATAATTTTCTCCCTCCCCCCCCCCTGTAATTTATGACTAGCTGGGGGTTGAAAGTGGAAAATGTTTTATGAATATTTGGATTTTTTATATATTTTGATAACATTTTAGTGTCGCCACTTAATAACTATAAGTGATTAATTGGCGACACATTTTTGTAAAATCTCCTCTTGAAAATCAAAATTAAAGGGATAGAAGGCGTCTGCTCTCTCTACTTGCACATTTTTCCAGGTGGACTAATGGACAACGCTTTGAAGCCCGGTTTTTTTTTAATTATTAAAGGTTTTTACACTTTTTAAGAGGCTCTTTCTTCCAACAATCTTGGATGTGAATATTATTAGAAAAATGCATGATAGACAAATTTTCTTTTATTATATTATGCAATATTTGACCAAAACTATCAGAAAATCGTTTTTCGTTTTAATAAATCGTTTTGGTTTATATCACCAGGGGAAAAACCTGTCGAGGAAACAATTTTGCAATTTAATTAATAACTCACATTTTTGTGAAACACTTTTTACGTAAAAACAACTAAATGGTCAAAGGTCGTCTTTACTGTTTGAATAAATTTAGAATGGGTGGAGGTGTGGTGGAACAGAAAAGGACTCCACGGCCTTTTTGCAATAATACAAACTTGGGAAAGAAAAATTTAATTTTAAATAAAAACATGGTCTGAGATTGACCGACTAAAAACCCTCTTTTTCAACCCTGATTTAAAACACGGATACTGGGAATTAATAGTTAATACCCTAAAAGAATACTACTTATATTCCCTGAAATCACAATAAAAGAATAAATAAAGCATTTTCAACCAAAAAAAGTAACCTATTGATATAGGTAAAACTGTACATTCGTCAAATCCTTTGAGAGTAATCCGTATTAAAGAAAAATCTCAAATTGTGAAGACGACTTTATAACTAGTCTGACAAGTTTATAAATGTAATAATTTCCTGATTAAATCAAGATTAATTTTGTCTTAAAGGGACTGTAAGCGTAAGTTCAATTGATCTTCCATGCTATGACAGACTTACAACAGTACCCTTTAAACCGTTAACTGTTCATCGTGACTCGAGTACAGAGAGCTCTGTGTGTAAATATATTAAATAGCTGTTCAATCGTTCTAAAAAGCCGATGTAAGACGCGTATACTTAGTGAACTATATACACTGCTGATTCGTTCCTTGCGTCCTTTTAAAATATCAATTAGTTCACGTTGAAACCGGTTTTCAAACATTCTAGGTTTAGGACACAGAGTTAGTTCATCTAGGTTTAGTTTCCAGGGTTAGTTAATCTAGGTTTAGTTTCCAGGGTTAGTTAATCTAGGTTTCGTTTCCAGGGTTAGTTCATCTAGGTTTAGGACACAGGGTTCCAGATTTAGTTTTCAGGGTTAGTTCATCTAGGTTTAGTTTCCAGGGTAAGTTCATTCAGGTTTAGGACACAGGGTTAGTTTATTTAGATTTAGGACACATGGTTAGTTCATCCAGGTTTAGTACACAGGGTTAATTCATCCAGGTTTAGGACACATGGTTAGTTCATTCAGGTTTAGGACACATGGTTAGTTCATCTAGGTTTAGTACCCAAGGTTAATTCATCCAGATTTAGGACACATGGTTAGTTCATCTAGGTTTAGTACACAGGGTTAATTCATCCAGGTTAAGGACACATGGTTAGTTCATTCAGGTTTAGGACACATGGTTAGTTCATCCAGGTTTAGTACCCAGGGTTAATTCATTCAGGTTTAGGACACATGGTTAGTTCATCCAGGTTTAGTTTCCATGGTTAGTTCATCAAGGTTTATTACAAAGGGTTAGTTCATTCAGGTTTAGTACACAGGGTGAGTTCATCCAGGTTTAGTACACAGGGTTTGTTCATCTAGGATTAGTACCCAGGGTTAGTTCATCCAGATTTAGTACCCAGGGTCAGTTCATCCAGGTTTAGTACACAGGGTTAGTTCATCCAGGTTTAGTACACAGGGCGAGTTCATTCAGGTTTAGTACATCTAGGTTTATTATACAGGGTTTGTTCATTTAGGTTTAGTACACAGGGTTAGTTCATCTAGGTTTAGTACCCAGGGTTAGTTCATGTAGGTTTAGTACACAGGGTGAGTTCATCCTGGTTTAGTACACAGGGTTAGTTCATCAAGGTTTAGTTCTCAGGGTTATTTTATCAAGGTTTAGTACACAGGGTTAGTTCATCTAGGTTTATTATACAGGGTTTGTTCATTTAGGTTTAGTACCCAGGTTTAGTTAGTTTCCAGGGTTAATTTATCAAGGTTTAGTTTCCAGGGTTAGTTCATCTAGGTTTAGTACACAGGGTTAGTTCATCTAGGTTTATTATACAGGGTTTGTTCATCTAGGTTTAGTACCCAGGGTTAGTTCATCTAGGTTTAGTACGCAGGGTGAGTTCATCAAGGTTTAGTACCCAGGGTTAGTTCATCTAGGTTTAGTACCCAGGGTTAGTTCATCTAGGTTTAGTACACAGGGTGACTTTATCCAGGTTTAGTACACAGGGTTAGTTCATCAAGGTTTAGTTCTAAGGGTTATTTTATCAAGGTTTAGTACACAGTGTGAGTTCATCCAGGTTTAGTACCCAGGGTTAGTTCATTTAAGTTTATTACACAGGGTTAGCTCATCCAGGTTTAGTACACAGGGTGAGTTCATTCAGGTTTATTAAACAGGGTTAGTTCATTTAGGTTTAGTACACAGGGTCAGTTTATTCAGGTTTATTATACAGGGTTTGTTCATCTAGGTTTAGTTTCCATATTTAGTTTATCAAGGTTTAGTTTTCAGGGTTATTTTATCAAGGTTTAGTACCTAGGGTTAGTTCATCTAGGTTTATTACACAGGGTTAGTTCATCCAGGTTTAGTACTCAGCTGAAAAGATTAATTCATCTATATATGGGGTTAGTTCATCTATAGGGTAGTTCTTCCAGGTATAGAACTCAAAGTTTTGTCTTTGTTTACCATTTGATGGTTGTAATTGTTCATATTTTTGATAAATATCGGTATTTTGCCGATTAAATAAAGACATATAAAAGCCAATTTAAGCTAAACACATGATGACCTGTTTGGAAAATTTGTTTTGTATGTTTAAAATGTAATATATTTATGTAACGTAACGTAACGTAACTATTAAATATATTTATGTAACCTAACGTAACTATTAAATATATTTATGTAACGTAACGTAACTATTAAATATTTTTACTAAACAAAAGGTTGACGTTTGTTTCTTAATAGCTTTGTCTATTTCTTTTGATCAGTTTCTCCTTTACAGTAAAAATCAATTAATTGATATTTCTACAGAATGTGCTAAATGATTAAAAGACGAACGACGTTTTGGCACACATCCACAACCGTTTAATACACCAGTAAGCCACTGATTTCAACGATTTGAATTTTGATGTAAGTTTGAAAAACAAACGTAACTATGACTGGTTTTTACAAATATTTTCTTCATGATGTATAATAAAGCACCAAAACACCCCTTTTAGTGCGTTTACTGAATCTGTCGTGCAATCCTGATTCACCGACCTAATGACATTTTATTCAATGAATTTCAAAATACAAAAGAAAAATGTGAAATGTGGAATTAGAACAAACAAAACAGAGCCCCACCTTTACCTACTACACTACACTACACTACACTATACTACACTACACTATACTACACTACACTACACTACACTACACTACACTACACTACACTACACTACACTACACTACACTACACTACACTACACTACACTACACTACACTACGAATGATAGGGTTGGGATGATTACACATAAAATATGTTTGCAACCGCGTATTATTTATTTGGCTGAGTAGTCGGCTAAAACTGTTTCCTGGTATATACATTGTCAGTTCTAATTTAGCCGCGGAAATGGTTTTTACAAAACACAGGTGTTTAAATATATAGGATTTGAATACTATACTTTTACCACTTCAGATTTAAAGGAATTAGTAAAATATTTCAGTATTGAGAGGTAACAAAATCTAAACCACAGGTTTCTTAATTCTTTCTTCCTTCGTTAATTCAATAATCAAAATAAACCTGATCAATAAGCATAAAGTTAACATATATATTATTCAAATTAAACAAATATTTTCAACTGAAATGGAATGTTCATTTTCTTAAAAATACAAGTAAAACAAATTTTCCTCTTAAAGATGTTATAAAGGCACCTTCCCTTAAACGCTAACTTTTTAGTCTGCTGGCGTTTCGAACTTTGATCTCGCAGAAATAATGGTTTGAAAAATCAAAGGTCTACGACATCGAGATTTATCGGGATCCGGAATTAAACTTATTCCAAAAATCTTGTAATTACAAATACGTGATCCCGTTCAGATTCCTTAATTTTAGTTTTGTGTGTTTTCTGATGTTGTGTAGACCACATCAAGCAGAGCTTGTGACAACTGAGGACAGTCAAAATTCTATTTGGAGGCAGCAGGACGTAGTTTTGTCTTCCATCTGGAGAAACCAGGACAACTTGTATTCTTGGCAGATGGAGGACGCAGTACACAAAGAAGGAGAGGACGCTTTGAAAAGGATTAGGAGGACAGAGGTCGGATTAAATGAGTTGGAAACCTCGAATGAAATTATAAATATTGGTAACTGCTCCGATCCTCCATACTGTAGTTTACAAGGTAAATTTGCGATAATTAAAGGGAGAGTTTGCAAGTTATATTTGCATTATTAAAAGGTAGAATTTGCATGAAAGGGACAGTTTGCAAGGTCTATTTGCAATATTACACGGACGAATTTGCAAGGTTTGTTTGTAATATTCAAAGGGAGAGTTTACTAAGTATATTTGTAATATCTAATAGAAGAGTTTGCAAGATTTATTTGCAATATCAAAAAGGAGATTGCAAAGTAGATTTGTAATACTTAAAGGGAGAGTTTGTCAGGATTGTTTGCAATATTTAAAGGGAGATTTGAAAAGTAGATTTGCAAAGTAGATTTGCAATATTTAAAAGAAGAGTTTTCAAGACTTATTTGCAGTATTAAACGGAAGATTGCAAAGTAGATTTGCAATACTTAAAGGTAGAGTTTGTAAGGATTGTTTGCAATATTTAAAGTGAGAGTTTGCAAGCTATATTTGCAATATTCAAAAGGAGAGTTTGCAAGTTATATTTGCATTATTAAAAGGTAGAGTTTGCAATATTGAAAAGGAAAGTTTGCAAGGTCTATTTACAATATTCAAAGGGAGAGTTTGCAAGGTTTGGTTGTAATATTCAAAGGGAGAGTTTGCAAGGTTTGTTTGCAATATTTAGAGGGAGAGTTTTCAAGCTATATTAGCATTATTCAAAGAGAAGGTTGCAAGGTATATTTGCAATATTGAAAGGTAATATTTGCAAGAAATATTTGCACAATCTAAAGGACTAGTTGGTGTATTCTGAAAGGGGTGTTTAAGGACCTCGGCGTCCAATGTGTCCTCTTTTAGGTTTAAATTTAGATTTTACTAAAACTAAAGTTAAAAAAAAAGAAATATGACATGGTAAAGATATTTTATATGATTATTTGTTTTTTAATATTTAATATTTCAGGAAAGAGATGTTTAAGAAATCCGTACAAGAGCACAGCAGACATTGAAGAATGTATGTACAGAGTATACTTTATACTAGCGCAGGTACATTAATTTACTATATATGTTCAGAAGTACAGCAAACCTTGTAGCCTGCAATATACATGTACAGGGTATATTTTATACTACAGGGTGTCCCCAAAAACATGGGAATTCAGTGACGAATTCGATATCGTCTTTGTTATGAATTAGCAATGTAATACCTAATTTCCAACGCCATAATATTACTATGTCTGCTAGAGTTTATTTTATGAAAAGGGTAAAAGACTGTGAAGATGTGTCTATAATGTCTCCGCAAGATGAACAGTAAAGACGGACAAGTTTACTCTGTTTGTATACTGTAATTTTCTTGTTTTACTAAGTACAATGGTATGCAGTCAACACATAAACAAACAAATTGCAAACATAGCAGACGAAAATCTTACAGATTACAGCTTTCTCAGTAGGTAACGATAAATTAAATAAAAGAATTATTTAAAAAGACGATATCGAATTCGTCTCTGAATTCCCATGTTTATTGAGACACCCTGTAGCATATACAAAAATATGTAATTGGCGGTTCTTACATCTTTTTTTTTATAATAATTATAGCTTTGATATATTCCATGCCGCCTTTTCTCTTCTTACATAATACATCTTTGATAAATCAGAAATGTTCCTTTTTTCATTGAATTTCATAGCGTATTTTTTAGATCGGTTATTTTATACTTTTTAGAGTACACGTACATACCTTGACATATAGTTATATATAATCTTAATCTTACTCACATAATAATTACTTTTCAGAGTACACGTACATACCTTGACATATAGTTTTATATAATCTTAATCTTACTTACATAATAATTACTTTTCAGAGTACACGTACATACCTTGACATATAGTTTTATAATCTTAATCTTACTCACATGATAATTACTTTTTAGAGTACACGTACATACCTTGACATATAGTTTTATATAATCTTAATCTTACTTACATAATAATTACTTTTTAAGTTTTGTAAGTGTCAGTACAGTTTTAAGTCGGATATAAGGTAATAGTATTTGTTTTGTTAAAAGTTTTTGTTTTGATCAAAAAATTTCAGCCAATCACTAATTTACTTTTTCAGAGAAAGAAATTGGAAGCCTAGGCGTGGGATAAGGTACTTTTTAATTGGTTTCCTTTCCAGTTTACAACATTTTTTCCAAAGAAATTGATTCTTTGACACAAATTCAAATTTTCTAATCCCTTTACCCAAAGAGAATAGAATATATATTAGAGTGGAATTTAGAATCCCTCGGTATGAATTTTTGTCAGTCCCTTTCAATCTGAAAGGGAGTTCAAAGTACAATTCATTTAAATGTTCACAAATTATATGCAGTAGAGTACATACAGTATGTTCCCTAGACTATCCATTTCAATTTCGAATTTTTTAAAGCTGCTAAATAAACTTTATAAAATTAATTAGGCGAATAAAAAATCATTTGATTTATAGTTATAACGGAAAATCAGCGTTTGTAAAGTGAAAGTCATATAGTCTATGCGAAATGATCATTGGTCAATTATGAAACCAGCCTTTTTCATAATTTGGTTTTCTTTTAATATTAATTTTAGATTTTCTATAAAATGATGTTCCAGGTCCCAAATGGTTAAATAGTGTAAATATGTGAAATACACCTGCAGTATGGAAACAGTACAACAAAATGGCAGTTTTACACTTTTTTCTAGTAAATTCCACTCTAATATATATTCTATTCTCTATGCCTAAAACTAATTATCTGCCAAGATTATTTATAGGGAGAGAGGTGAGAATTCTCTTTGCCTATATTTTTGATACCTTATCATGTAAACATTTGATATTTCAAACTTAGATTATTTGATTTAAACAAAATCATAGCTTGAAATATCTAAGGTCTACGACATTGGATTGCAAAGAGGGTTGTTAAAAATACTTTTTTATCTATTATGTTAACTTGTTAAATCAAACAGACACTTAGTTTTTAAGGATAAATCTGAATTTTTGAGAAAAGTCGCAGTTAAAAAATCATTAATTAATTTTTCAATAAAGTCCGTGTGGCGTGTGGTGCCACAAATTATTAAAGAACTGAATTCTAAAGAGTTAAAGCTCTGTAGTTTAGGTTAATATTTCCCAGACTAACAACAGCCAGAGAGAGTTCAACAACATTATCAACATCAACATCAACTACACCGATTTCAACTCCCACTTCAACAACTGAAACAACAGTATCCCAATTCTACGAAGAAACAACAGTTTCCCTGCCTGAAGCGGTTTCTGATCAAATAGATGAAACTACAGAGCATACAGAGAATACAGATAATACAGAGAATACAGAGAATACAGGAATAGAAGATATAGGTGAAGAAACAGTTAATAATGATGAAGATAAAGACGAAGAGGAGACCAGGGAAGATCAAACTGAAGCGAAAGCAAATTAGATATTTATATATATATATATATATACTTTGCTTGTCTGTTTGTATCCAATAAAGTAAAAACGGCTAACCCAATTTTTTTCGTTGCACCTCACATGACCCCAAGGAAATGTTATGGCTGGTTGAGATGGAAAATAATGTCGACATTTATCAATGTTGAAAATGCACTAATTTTAACAGAAAAATCTCCGCAAATTTAAAAACGATTAAAAATGCTAAATTTTATTGCTAATATTTTAAGTAGAAAGGGGCGTAAAGTTAAGGGATTAAGTATTTAATATTTACCCCTCAAACTCAAAAGTGCCCAAATTAGATATTTGTTGCAATATTTTTCTGAATTGAATTCATTTTTACGTTTTATTTTCATTCATTAAAATATTTTTTTTTTTGACAAAATATCTCTTATTTTCTTGTAAATATTAACCTTACCAGAAGTTTGTTTTAAAACAGTTTTAGGATTAGCAATTAAATACAAAATGTCCAACATCCGGTAAAATTAAGCAAGGAATCCCTGGCCGCCATGAGCCTCCACTATATAGCATGAGAGCCTCCCAGATTTTTGCAGGCAGTACGAGTCTCCACTAAGAGTTTTAAAGAAGCTATGGGGAGGCTCGTACTGTACGGCGGAGGCTGGGAGACGTCCCCCCTCCCACCACTTTACCCTGAATAGAGAATACCAGGAGTATGTGGAGGAATTTAGTTGCTGAATCAGAGAAGATGAGAAAGCAAGGCCATCAAGGAGTAGTTGTGAAACCTGTAAAATGTTGGCTTTGCAGGGATATAACAACAACAACAAATTTTATTTCTTTTTCTAAATCAGTCAAAATATGGTCAATGAAGCAAAACAAGAAAAATAAAGATAGAAATTTAAAGAAAAATAGAGATATAAAAAAATCTTATGATTATTTTACAATTTTGTAATAAAATTTGTTAAAAGCAATATTCAAATAAAAATGTTTATAAAGAAACGTTAAATTCCAAAAAATTTCTTGGGCAAATTATAAACAAAAACCCAGGGATTTGGAAATATATTTATGTATTTGTCAGAGTATCATAAAAATTAGTTTTTATAAAACAATTTTTAAAATATCGAAAAATGGACAAATGAACTGTATTCAGTGCGTTTAAGATGAATCATTTGATACCCATATCAGCATGTTTCAAAAATATTGAAAAATCAACCTTTCCACATGATCTGTGTTTTTTGAAATCATCAATAGCTGGATGAGTTTTAATTTTCTCAATTTGTTCCTTTAATAATGTTGCTTCTTATTTGTTACTGTACGATTTTATTTGTGCAGAAAGGATTTGACGTTTTCGATAAAATACAGAGCATCCCATATCATACCAAATTATCTCCAAGCTTTAACGCCAAAATACTCGAAAAACCTGGAAGGAAACTTTTATAAAAACCTTTTTTAAAAATTGATTTATTGTTTTTAATTTTCTTATTAGTCTCTAAAATCACAATTTTGAGTTATTAATGATCTAATATGATGCGGGACAACCTGTAGTTTCACAGAGATAAAACTATAGTCTAGTAAAATTAGAAAGACTCTTATTTTTTCCATAAACAGGTAATCACTGTTACACATCTCATTTGCTTAACATCGAAATGATACTCAGCAAAGACTTTGCTAATTATAGATAGCGCATCAGAAAATCTACGCAAATTCGACGCATTTTCTCGGGAAGACAAAGATAGTAACTAATGTCGTCTTCTCCAGAAATCCAGAGTATATTTACCCTGTTGACGTTTCATAATGTCGTCTTTTGTAATGGATAAAATAGTTATTTAAAAACATACAAGGAAACCACTTTTATTTTTCTATCTTGAAATATCTAATTTGTCCTTAGTCCATAAAAGTGACTAATGAAAAGACTATATCTTCCTCATTGTTACCCATATAAATGTTAAATTGTACCGTTGTTTATAGAACCTTTAATGGGTTGGTACTTTAAATTACATCTATCAGTCCCTTATAACATTTACTTTTGGTTTGAAGTATAAAGTGTTTATAAAAAGAAAATAACCTATAAGATCTTGGTTTTTAAAGTTCAACCATACACCATTCAAGTCTTTTATCTTTTATGCAATTGTAACCTTGTACTTTTTAAAAAGTAATCAATTATATCATTTCTTTTTCATTTAAAAATGAATTCTATCTCTCCCTGATTTAAATGAGTTATTGAATTAATATTTCATATTTCATGTTTCTTTTACTGTGAGATATTCTAGATCTAAATGAAGGGCCTTCAGCCACAATTGTTTTCTTTTGTGATTTGCTGGAAATCGAGAACGCGATCCTCCGACTCTTGGATTGCAGCTCTGTATTATACATGTTGGAGCTCTGATTGGTACCGACGGACCTGAATTTATCAGAATTATTCATACAGGGTGTCCCAAAAAACATGGGAATTCAGTGACGAATTCGATATCGTCTTTGTTATGAATTAGCACTGTAATACCTATTTTCAAAAGCCATGATATTATTATGTCTGCTAGAGTTTATTTTATGAAAAGGGTAAAAGACTGTAAAGATGTGTTTATAATGTCTCCGCAAGATGAACAGTGAAGACGGACAAGTTTACTCTGTTTGTCTGCAATTTTCTTGTTTTACCAAGTACAACAGTATGCAGTCAAAACATAAACAAACAAAATGTGAACATAGCAGACGAAAATCTTACAGATTACAGCTTTCTCAGTAGGTATCACTATACTAAATCAAAGAATTATTTAAAAAGACGATATCGAATTCGTCACTGAATTCCTATGTTTATTGGGACACCCTGTAGAATTTGTATGCATAAAACTCTGGAATTTGAAGATGACATAGTTCATAATTAGACAATCTACTTGTTCTCTGCTCAATTGTGGTATTTTAATGTTCATATTGAACTATTTAAATCTAAAAATTGAGTCTAAAAGTCGTCTTTATATTACCGAGTTTTATTTTCACCAATGTATTATTTTAGTCCGCCTTTTTAAAATCCTCCAATAATTAATGCCTCAAACCTTTTGTAATCAACTGTAAAAGTAAAAGGTCGTCCTTTAATTCGCATTTTTAACGAAACTTTCTTTGATATTTTGTTCTATAATGTTGGATATTTTAAAACAAAATCCCCATAAATTAATTGAAGAGTAAGATTAATGCATTAATTTATGCGATATTATTTCTTTGCCTAAGATTAAACAGAAGACGACATTTACAAAAAATTATTTACCGTTTATAATATTGGAAATTTCTGGTCCCCTCTCTTCTTCATCGCCTAAAATCCCATTCCATAGAACCTCAGAAAAATATTTGACGATANAATCTAAAACAGTGGAATGTATAGTTGTCATAGTTATTTCTAATATCAAGAAATGTTGTCAGGAATTTTTCAATTTGAAATTTTTCTAACTGACATGTGTTTAAAAAATGTACACTATTTATTAAAAATAAATCAGTTCCAACCTTTAAAATCCATTTCAACATTTTATATAAAATAGATGATCAAGTATTAATCTCCATTTTAAACAGATTTACGGATTAATTCATTTTCAATATTCAAATATTCAAAATTCAAAGTGCACAAATTGAATGTCGAGATCAAACGTTCAAGATTAACAAGATGACAATCATTCAACTAATTTTTGGTAACACTGGAAGTTTTACTTGAAGATATTTTTGAATTTATATTTAAAGTAGTAATCTCTTTTTAATTGCCTATCTTTCTGATCATAACTCGGGAACTTCTAGACAAATTTTGATTAGGGAACGTGTCTGAACCACGGGAATGTTCTGTTTTTGGTTTACAAAGACATTTGGGTTGAATTTTAAAGGGAAAACTTATTTTCCAGGTAAAGTTGGGTTCCCAATATTGAACACTAGTTTGGGAACCCAGCACTGCCAAGGTTACTAAAAGGTACTCCTCCGTTTAACCGCACATGGACGATTATACCGGGCAATTAAACTTTTGCTTTTAAAGTCGACCCACTCAACTTAGAATCTTAAAACCAAACTAAGAATATTCTCGTGGGTCTCCCGAGTTCCCCAATCAAAATTTGAGGCAAATCTGTCCTTGTGGTTCCTGAGTTATGATCGGACAAACAAACAAACAGACAAACAGAGATTACAACTTTATATATATAGATGAAAATGATAATATTCAAGCATTGGATTAGTATCTTAAAAGCCCTAATCCCAGTTTTCAGGGCACCCACTTAATTTGACAACTTTAAATCTTAGAAATATGGTTAACATTCTGGAGAAACTGGAATTATTTAAATGAATATCGTAATAACACTGCACATAGATGAGATTAACAAAAAAGAAGCGAAAAATTCAGTTAAAATTAGGATAAGAATAACATTAAAATCATTTTGAAGTAAAAAATTTGGATTTTATCGAATGGTAAGCCAAAGAAAAGTTGTTTCTTACTCTTATATTTTTAAATTCATAAATTCATAAATTCATAAATTCATATTTCGATCAGTTTTTTCTTCGTCACATTCTGTCATTGACGGTTATAAGAGGGACTGAGCAAAAGGTTGCCCCCCCCCAATGAATTTTTAAATTTGTTACAACTTCTCATTCCTATTGAAAATTAAACACTATTTTATTTAAACCATTCAATTATTTTTTGCATTTTATGTGGACATTTAAAATTTATTATTCTTTCATATCGGAATATTTGAATTAAAGTTTTTCCTAGAATTGTAAATTGCCATTTTCTTCGCCAGACAATGGGGTGTAAGTTGCAATAGATATACAATGAAGGGGGGGGGGGGGCTATTTATTCCAACCCTCCCCCCTGAGTTAAATTCTGTCACGGACCTGACATTGTTTATCAGTATTATCAAGATGCATGTTCAAGAAACATTATACAACCTTTATATCTTGCTGTCAAAAGTCTCATCAGTTTGGATAACCCTGTATCATGAATTTAGAAAAAACAATCGAACAATGCATATATTTTAGAAAAACATAATTTTAATGGAGGTGTAATTTTTTTAAATTTAGTCTTAGAAAGGTTGGAGAATTTTTAATGTTTTTTAACATGAGTTTTAACAATAATGTTTCAAAAAGAAATTGTTGTTATCTAAAATAATTTTGGTCAAGTAAACTTGGCGGTATGCAGTAAAAAATCAGCTGAAGGAATCAAACAAAGTTGCGGATTTTCTAAGTTTCTAATGAAGACGACAATCCTTGAATCATGTGTCCCTGGAATGAGGATCCGGTGGAATGCCACTCAGCCTAAGGGTTTGTTAGACAAGCTGTATGTTTGCCTGGGTCATTGCCCAGTACGGAGTTATCAGCATTTTCTTGCCTCAGGAGTTTCTTCCTACCTGAACCCTGGATTAGGATTGGTCGAAAGCTAAAGGTAGATGAATACCATTGGATGGTTTCTCACCATTTTCAAGACAGGACAGTGCATGCGCAGTAGACGCCTACCTGCTGGCAGTAGTTATCTGACACCTGTAACGGAAAGACGTGACCTGGTAACTGTAAATTGTGTGTTGGTGTGTACACTGTACATTGTGATTTGTATTGAAAGCTAAACTATTGTACACAGTTGTATAGGACTGTTTAATAACAAATTGTGACTAGAATGTAACAGTTACACCAATCAATTCCTCGTGTTTTCAATGTTTAAAGAGATGTGAACGCAGGCAGGGTGAGGTGTGGTTTAGAAACCGGTTTGTGACGAGAGAAGGAGGAATCTGGCAAAAATGAGGCCTCATCCTAGATTGAGCCCGGAGCGACGGGTGAGCCCCACTAGGAGTAGGAGGTCTAAACATAGTCCTATCAGAGAAATGAGCAGAGAAGCGGAGGAGGGTCCGACACCTATCTGTAGATGTAGAGTTTTATATCTCGGTTCATCCGTCCCACATATAACCAAGGACGGGTTACAAGGTATCCAGGAGCCCTTGAAGGAACTCTACCCAGAGGAGGGTGCTCTGGGAGCCAAAGGAATCGACTCCTGGTTATCTGTCTGGAGCAATGGTTTCCTCCTGGAGAATGTTGATGAGAATAGAAAGAAGGTTTCAAGGTTCTTCCCAATAGATTCTCTTCATTATTGTGCTGCTGTAAGATATGTACAGGTCCCAGGAACATCTGGAGAAAAGGTTCAGAGATTTCTTCCCCTGGATTCTCCCTTTGCTAGGAATCCAAATATCAATCATCCGCCACTCTTCGCGGCAATACTAAGGCGCACTACAGGGATCAAAGTTCTAGAATGTCATGTGTTTATTTGTAAACGAGAAACTGCTGCAAATGCACTCGTCAGGTATTNCTCCCCCAATACTCCTTGAACTATTACTTGTCAAGTTGTCGAAAATCGATCGATGCCAGTTTCTTTATGAAATAAAAGTAAATTTTTGTATTGAAAAATTAAAGAATTTGTAGTATTAATGTTATTCGACAAACAATCAAAGCATACATTTTGTTATTTGTGGGTTTTGTGTTTACTCCATCCCAGTTATTTTTCTGAATTTTCTATTACTATTTACCTCTGTTAACCGACTTAAAAATCAAATTTTCGATGCTTCTCTTAAAAAGATCAATTTTGATTCCATCTTAAAAACTGTTTTTTTTTTTTTAATTAGAGGCTAAAATCTTCATTCTTGAATGTACAAACGTACTAAAAAAAGAATTTCTTTTCGATATAATACAAACATGTAAAATTAATGAAACATCTATTGTTCCAAACATGCCGATTAAGGACAAATACACTCTAGGAAAGTAATTATTGGAATACCCACATCAGAAATACCAACCTTTTTTATTAATTTTAAATCTGCTTTCAGACTAGACTCACGCAATTTATTAGATTATTATGTGCCGGGATTTTAGTGAAAGTTTCTCTATTTGTTTGAATCATTTATTTGAAAAATAACCATTTCATGGACTGTTATAAAAAGTTATGTTCTAGTCAATATAACATTAAAGTCACAAATATAAATTTATTATAGCTCATTCTTACTTGCCTTACAAGACGGGTTAGTGTATTTGCAAATATTTTATTGCGTCAATATTTACTCATTTTTTACGCCTCCGACAGTTTACGATACCTCGCTATACAGCGTTAAACTCTATTTTGATTTTATGTAAAATTTATCACATCACAAAACCCATGTTAGAAAATACTTTGAGGCGAAATAATCTAAAATGTCTTGCTAATTTTTTAAGATTATATTTAATTACAATTGTGGAGTTCTTTAGATTTCGCCAAAAATTCTATTTTACCATTTTACAGCTGACTTAAGAACCCGTATTAATGGTTTTGGATATAATGTAATGTGTGTGTGTGTGTACCTGTTCTGCCCCCACATACCTACCCCCATTATACGGTCAAAAATTTATTGCTACCCATATGGGTTTCAAATCCTCAGACAAGTTTCTAATGTGACGTATATAAACGTTAATTGATTAAAATTAGGGGGAGTGGATTACAATTTAAGGTGTAAAATGGAAATGGAAAGGGGGAGAGGGGACACATATAAATGTTTAATTTAATTTTTATTCTTATTATTGTTTTTATAATTTTATAATTTTCATGATTTTGTGAAAATGAAGAAATGCTATAAAATATTTTTATTTTAGATGTTCCTTCCATGCCTACGCAGACTCAACATACGCAAAACATTTAGAAAACGGTGCGTCAATCTATGGGACAGTGGGAAACCCCACCCCCCTGCCACCCATGATGCAGGGGGGTGCACAAACCTTCCTGGGTAACGGAGAGATGAACAGAGAGTATCAGCAAAGTATGCTCGAAGTTTCGGACGATTCAATCACATCAGTGGACAGATATGACGAGTATAGTCCTATGCAGAATGGTGGCATATCGTCCAACCCTCTAGGAGGCGTATCGACACATCCGGCCGGAAACTCCCGGACGAATCTTGTTCCTAACGGTGCCTCTAGTCCGACTGAAAATGGTGAGATAAAACCTGTAATTCTTTTAATATAATGTTCGGAAAGCTTAACTTGGCTTTCTGCCATTAATAAAGTTTATAAATGAAAAACTAATTGAGTTGGCGCAGAAAGAAATCTATAAAATAAAGCTCTTCGTTCATATATGTATATATATTTAAATGTTAACTATAGCTGGCCAAACAGTTCCAGCAAATTGGCTGACATTCTTTTTGGGAACCCATGGGTAACATAGGCTAAATAAATTAGATTTTGTTTCAAGATGTAATTTTTTTATTAATCCCACGGGCAACGCCGGTCCACTTCAGCTGATATTAGCATAACATTGCAGATAGAACTGTAAATATAAGAATGAAGATAAAATTAATTCTGTACAGTCGTCTCTACATTCTCGTGGGTAACCCTGTGTATAATAAATGCCCGAAATATGTTTCGCATGAATAGATTTTAAGTAAAACATCTTTTTTTATTTTTTTTATACAACTCAATTGCCAAATTTATACATTTCCTTGCTCCTGAGTATACAAAACAATGTATATTTTTTTTTACAAAAAAATAAGATATTTTTCTGGAGAGGATTTCTATTATGATTAAATAAAACCTAAAGAATCATTTTCCGCCTTTTTATACATCTGTGAGTACTCGGAAGAAATCTGAGCTACATCGTGGATTCTGT